CAAAACACATTACAAACCCCCAAGAACCAACAGAAACTCTTAATGGTTTTGATATTTTTTTTTTTCATCAGGGGGTGTTCCTGATGTGGGCGTTCTCATTTTATGGAAACGCCTTTCATTGCCGTTCGACACTATTGTTTGGATTAGCTTAGAAGTGAGTGGCGACACTGACCTCCAAAAGTTGTGATTATCAGTATCAGCTGTATTTGTTTTCGTTTGTAACATTACAGATATGGTTACAAGTTGCATGTTCCGAGTTCTGATGCACAGTGGGGTTTCTTATTATCATAAGGCATGAATTCTAGTTCTGTTTGATGGCTATTTAAGCAATAGAACACTCAAGATCGTGTGTTATTGCATAATAACGTCACGGCTATGATTTGAAATACAATTAGATTATCACAGCCGTGATGCTATTCGCTATAACACACAACCTTGAGTGTTCTATTGCTTTTATACAACAGTTTCTACAAAATAAACAAACAAAATAAATCAAAGAGTTTCATACTGAATATGCTTTAATACTGACAATACCTTCTGCCAAAAAGTAGTTCTACAACAAATGAGTTGTTGCTGTGCAATGGTAATAATTCCCTAGACCAGGGGTCAGCAACATGGCTCTTTTACTGCCCCGTTGCAGCCCCACAGCAGAATTAGATTTTTAGGAAAAAAAAATAATACTCATTTGCAGGAAAATAAAGCTCTGCTGATCATTCAACACAGTTTAACAATAAATTGTCTTAAACACTAGAGTTAATGTAGAACTGCTAATTCACCCTTTCACTCTGAAGATTGACGCGCAGACTGCTGGTCACCATATCAACACACAACAACCTCACCTAGCTAGTAGCTAACGAAACGGCAGAGAGAGAGAGATTTAAGACGAACATTGATAATTTGGAGATGAATGGACTTATTTGCAATTATAAACACTCCAGCTGGTTTCCTGATACATTTAATCTGTAACAAGCAACTGCCAAACACTAAAGTTGCAAAGCTGAAGTCAGTTTCTCATTCAAATTTTCCCGTTCCACCTTAAATGATGCAGCAGTTACATTCTGGTACCTCAGGCATCATTTAAGGTGGAATATGAAAATTTGAACATGAAGCTGGCGAATGAGAAGCGACTTCAGCCTCATTAAAAAATCAAATATTTAGAGACATTTTTCAAAAACTATTCCTTTTGAGGAAAACTTTCCTGCTAGAGATGTGAGAAAAGCGGCTATAGCTGAGTTAAAACTTAAAGCAGAGCAAATTAAGCATGTGTTTTCGTTTATACTATATTTTTTAGCCTAAGATAACTGCTGATACTACAAAGCTCACCTTTTGTGGTACAGATAGAGCCATAGAACTGTAGAACTACAGTCACACTCTTCTGTCCTAATGGGTTGCAGGTCAAATGGTATCTTAAAATCATCCATCTTATCAGTGTCTCATTTTATATGAGCACAAATACAAAACAACTAAGGTTTGCATGCATAAAGCCTGTAAACTTGTTACTTGGCAACACATCAGCGGAGTGATACAGTTTTGGTGTGGAAAAAACAGTGCTGTTGTCACAAATATCAGCACGATTACAACACTTCTCAACCAATCAGCTTGTAAGGTCAGAACCAAATGTTGCATAATTGAGTATATGAAACAAATGAGACTGTCTAATATAGTCTAATACATAACCGGTGTATACTGATAAATCAGTGTGATGAGTCAGTTATTAATCTCAGTGTTACTGAACTGCTTTGAGGGATGATTAAACTGAACAGTCTTCTGAGTAGCTTAAATGTTCACAAGTGATAAGCGATAGTGTTGTACTGGACTTCTGCATGCATTTGGCCATGTTACATATAACATTATTAACTAAAAATCATACAGCTACCCACATTACTGTCAAATTAGCAATACAATAGATTTTTGGTGAAAGGGTAGTATGCTTATAAGAGCGATAGTGGACTGAAACAGGCCATGAGAGCCAAAATAATGTTGGGAATTTTGTGATTATTTGTGCATTAATTTGAATAATTACATTTTTTCATGAAACATTAACATAAGAATTACATTTACTGCCAACCAGTAAGAGTAAGGAACAGTGTGAAATAAAAATTACTGCAGAGGTTTTCTCAGATACTCTAATGTATATGTATTCCAAATGTTTTCTGAAAACATTACTTTCTTAAGTATTGTAATGCGGGGGTTCTCAACCTTGTCCACCTCAAGGTCCACCTGTTTATCACTAGAAAGCAGGAAGGCCCACAAGATAACAAAACTGAACAGTTTTGCTGAAAAATGTCATTTTTGGGAGATTTTCAATACAGTAATATGTGGGGGGCTGCTCTTGCAATATGTGATGTATATCAGTGAACATGAAATATATAAATATATTTATGTATTTTAGCTGGTGATATAAATATATAAATTAGCTGGTAAAGGAGTGACATGCACAGTTACACAGACATACACAGTCCATCTCTTGCTCAAATGTTAGGCGATTGCACTCATATATGGAATTGTTAAACTTCAGGAAAAAGATGTCAAGCTATTTTCTTTTGCTTTTGTCATGAAAGTCTAACAAAAGCAAGAGCAAAATGGATGCTAACAGGCTAGCCTGCTACCTAGCATTTCGCCTCATCTATGTATTTGAAAGTAAAAAAACCCTTAAAATAAAGCTTTCAGCAGTTAATGAATCATATTTCAGAAATGACAACAGTTTCACCACAGTTATTTCCCACCCAAGTAGTCTGTTTCACTCGGAAATATATCACGTTAAGAAAAAAAAAATTTTGTTTTGATTTCCAATTCAACTTTAAGAGCATTTGAGTGTGTAGGTACGAGCACCATCTTAATAGGCCATTAATAATCCTAATTTTCTGCATTGCATATAAGCAGCCCTATCTTAGGCAAATTACTTACCTGCACCCTATGTCATGGTTCATTACATAAATCGGCTCCTCTGATTGTAGTCTGTAATCGTCATTAGATAAAGACTGAATTTTTCTTTGTCATTGCAGCTTCTGTCAAAAAGTGGTACAGCAAGGATCAGAACATATTTCCTGTGCCGTGGCAGACCACCTTTAACAAGCTCCTGGACAGTTTGGCAGTGGAGGCTACACGTCCAATCCAAAACAGTTAGGAGCACAATATTTATCCAATTTAACTATGTTTTTCTGTCTCTTTGAAAAATGTAGTTTTTAGTTGTCTTACTAAAATAAATAAGCAAATGTTTCATTGGTACTTTTTTGTCAGCTGTCTTATTTTGAGAACAATTATGAATATATGATATAATGAATATAATATGTAAGCATGAATTCATGCTTGAAATTAGGTTGAATTCAAGTCGCTGAAGAACGTTGGGTTTTGATGTCAGTCCGAACAGCTTAAATAAGACGTGTTTGAGGAGTCGTTGCTTGGACGTTGGAGGTTGATGCACAGCCAACGCTGGGTTTTGACATCAGCCTGATTTTCATTTGCAACCAAAATTCAACCTCTGTCCAACATCGGAGGGTTGACGTCAAGCCGACGTTGGGTTTTGGCATCAGCCCCATTTTCATTTTCAACTAAAATTCAACGCCAGTCCAACGTCGGATGGTTGACGTCAAGCCAACGTTGGGTTTTGACGTCAGCCCGATTTTCATTTTCAACTAAAATTCAACGTCAGTCCAACGTCAGGGATTGATGCACAGCCAACGCTGGGTTTTGGCGTCAGCCCCATTTTCATTTTCAACTAAAATTCAACGTCAGTCCAATGTCGGAGGGTTGATGTCAAGCCAACATCGGGTTTTGACGTAAGTCCGATTTTCATTTTCAACTAAACTTCAACATCAGTCCAACGTCGGAGGGTTGACATCAAGCCAACGTTGGGTTTTGACGTCAGCCCGATTTTCATTTTCAACCAAAATTCAACGTCTGTCCAACGTCGGGAGTTGACGTCAAGCCAACGTTGGGTTTTGGCGTCTGCCCCATTTTCATTTTCAACTAAAATTCAACGTCTGTCCAACGCCGGAGGGTTGACGTCAAGCCAACGTTGGGTTTTGGCGTCAGCCCAATTTTCATTTTCAACTAAAATTCAACGTCAGTCCAACGTCGGGGATTGACGTCAGGCCAACGTTGGGTTTTGGCGTCAGCCCGATTTTCATTTTCAACTAAAATTCAATGTCTGTCCAACGTCGGAGGGTTGACGTCAAGCCAACGTTGGGTTTTGGCGTCAGCCCGATTTTCATTTTCAACTAAAATTCAACGCCAGTCCAACGTCAGGAGTTGACGTCAAGCCAATGTTGGGTTTTGGCGTCAGCCCCATTTTCATTTTCAACCAAAATTCAACGTCTGTCCAACGTCGGGGATTGACGTCAAGCCAACGTTGGGTTTTGGCGTCAGCCCGATTTTCATTTTCAACTAAAATTCAATGTCAGTCCAACGTCGGAGGTTTGACGTCAAGCCAACGTTGGGTTTTGGCGTCAGCCCGATTTTCATTTTCAACCAAAATTCAACGTCTGTCCAACGTTGGAGGCCAACGTCTGTCTGACGGCAAAATGACGTCCTGTGCCTGCAGGGAGAGCACAGTGTGAACTGACTGAAGAGAAGCAGTGTGTATATTTTCATTTCAATATATTTTCATATATTTATGATTATGAATTTTTCTCTTAAAATAAAACCAGATATGTTCAGACTGAACACATCCATCTGGGTCCCTCCGAACAGCGCAGTCCTAGAAATTTGGCTCCGCCTTCGAACAGAGTGAAATTTATCTGCGGTTTATCTTCACTACCTGCAGAACAGGATCTCTCCGGGCTTTGCTCCGCCCTGCCAACAGCGCGGCTCTCCGAACATCGGGCCGCCCTACAGCTTTTTACTGGCGGAGGACCGGGCTGTTGCGACCAGGGTCGACCGGGCTGTTGCGACCAGGGTCGATCCGTTGCGACCCGGGTCGCGACCGATCGACCCGGGTCGCAACGGATCGACCCTGGTCGCAACAGCCCGGTCCTCCGCCAGCATAAAGGCTCCTTCCCCCCAGCAGTGCAGACACTTCTCATGTGGATCAGCTGCGGTTTGTCTTCACTGTCTGCAGAACAGGATCTCCGTCTGACAACGTTCGTTTCTGGAATAAAACCAAAGAAAAAGCATCAGAACCTGCCGGAGCCGAACTCTAGAACCTCCTACAGCCTCCACCATCTGACTGCTACAGAACAAACTGTAAGTACACGATGAATATTAATGCTAAAAAATGTAAAGCACGAGACTGAACAGACCCTCTTTACTCACCACTGTAGTTCACTGACAGATCATGTAGAAACACAAAGACAGGTGAAGTCCATGTAGGAACAGAGAGCTGAGAGATCTGAAGAGCTGAAAACACCAGTTAGAGTATAGAAATGTATCTTATATGCTCTGTAATGTTTTCAGATGGTGAGTTTTGTGTCATTAACAGTGTTTGTTGCTGTGTTTCCACCTGCAGGCTGTGTTGAGTCTCCACCGTCTGCTCAGCCATGCAGCTCTTCAGCTTCTGGGTCCTAACAGTCCTGACTGCAGTCCTATCAGGTGAGAGTCCTCACTGCTCACACTGCACACTTTCATTAAACAGCCTCACTGACTTACTGAGACTGGACTCAGCTTCACTGGAGCTGCTTCCACATCTTCATCTTTAGAGAGTAAATATATGGAACATAGACTGAGATTAAAGGCTATTAAGCTAGAAACACTTCCACTGTATCTACACTCTCTGACCGTGATGCACAGTTTGTCTATAACTGTAAACACTTGTTCTTCTTCAGCAGGTCAGCAGACACTGGCTAACTTCATCGAAACCACATGGAGGGATCTGAATGACCCGGCCACTCTGTACTGTTCACAGCCCTGTTCAGGGGTGGAAACCTGGGAGAGGAGTGGACTGAAAGTGGCCGAATGTGGAGTTAAAGAAGAGTCGGAGTTCAGCTGTGAGAGACACCTGGACCAGAGTAGCCTCACCGTTCCTCAGGTTAATTACACCACCAGAGGATTTTATCACACCAAATGTAGCGGAGAAGTGATCTGCTTCCAGAACCTCCAGCCCAAGCGTGAGTGTTTCAGAGCATTAAACTCCTGTATGACAGTGTATGATACAGTAGTGTTATGGTAGTTTGGTGCTGGTACGACTGGAATTACAAAGATCTCTGCTTGTCTCTCCTGCAGCTCACAGCTCTTCTGTTGAAGTACCAGCTGGAGATCCCCTCACCTTGGATCTGTTCACGTTCCATCCAGTGACTCTAACGTTCTCCCGGACTGATGGAGGATCTGTAACCCCTGTCCAGATGTGCACTGTGGATGGACGTTCCGTGCTCTGTAATGCGGGGTATGAAGACAGAGTGTCAGTGTGTGGTAACTCCATGGTGCTGAGAGACGTGGTGTCTGCTGACTCTGGAGTCTACACGGTGCGAGAGGTCAAGGATGGAGCGGCCCTCATACGGACAGTGTCGGTCACTGTTAAAGGTAAGTGCTTTTCTGGTGGGCTTAAAAAGATGTTCTTGCTGTTTGTCCACTGTGCTCTGCCTCATCTGTTTTGTCTGTTGTCTTCAGATGTTCAGCAGAACTGGATCTGGAAGGATGAATATCAGAAGGGAAACAGTGATGGATTTCAGAAGGGATTGAAAATCGGAGCACTGGGATTTGGGATTGGAGCGCTGGTTCTTGGTGTGATTCTGGGGTTCTATGCTGTGCCGAGGGGGCTTTATCTGATGGACAGATGTGTCCAGAGGCTCAGAAGACGAGACTCCTCACGCATGAATCAAACTGAGAATGTGGAAAAGAGTGTTCCCCTGACATGAGGGAATACCAGCCAGCGAAATGACCCTCATCATAGGGAATGACTTTAAATCAATAAAAATGACCCTGAAATTCACTTGTTTACTTATTTTTATGTCCCATAATAGACATGTAATAGATGTGTGTAATAGACATATATGATAGACATATGTTTGGGATTTTATAAATAGTGAATATATGATGTTGCAGGTTGTGAAAGTGGTCACCATGGAGATGAGCTGAATTCTGAATATGAAGAAGATAAATGGTCATCATTTCTTTCTGTCCGTGTTGATGAATGTTTCCAGAATGCACTGGTGCTGCTGTTTCTGCAGGGTTTTATTCTTTCTTTGTGAAAGTGCTGAGTGTGAAGTGTTTTTAAAGGTATGAGAGCTTTTTATGGCTTTTATTTATCTGCTATTTATTACTGTTATACTCCTCTGTATGAAATAAAGTGTATTATCCCATGATTCCCTGGTGTTTCTTCAGTGAACAGCTTTAGCTGAAATGGTCGGGACAGTGAAGTGTGACTGATAACTCGCAGTGCTGCTTCCTGACGTTTGTCCTGGTTCTAAAATGTTCTATTACGATGCTGGACCCCCCCCCCGTACGAACCAGAAACAAGCCTGAGAGATCATTTACAGTCTCTCTCTCTGTATCTCTCTCTCTCTCTCTCTCTCTCTCTCTCTCTCTCTCTCTCTCTCTGGCATGTTGGGTCCATGGAGTCATGCTGTTTAGGCCAAATCTTGACCATCTTCACTCTGGAACAGAAATGTAGATTCATCAGACCAGGCCACATTTTTCCAATCTTCAGCTGTCCAGTTTTAGTGAGACTGTGTCCACTGCAGCCCCAGATTCCTGTTCTTGGCTGACAGGAGGAGAATCTGACCATGGTCTTCCACTGTTGTAGCCCATCCACCTCACGGTTAGATGTGTTGTGCATTCAGAGACGCTTTTCTGATCACGTTGTTGTACAGAGTAGTTACTATATGTCTTGAGTCATACATTGAGCGCTTAAAGGGGAATTCCACAGATTTTTCAAAATTTCTACATAATTAAATGGTCAAAAAGGTAAACAATGTCACTTTTTTTCTGCTCACTGTAGGTAATACATGAGTTGGGGGATATGTAACTATTTAAATCCCAGAAATTAAAAGAGGGAGTATAAACCACCATTCCAGCCTTTACTCTAACATATTACATTAACACTACTCTTATGATATTGATATGATCTCTAAACAATGTGTCTATCATATGTACATAATTAACTAAAGGAATAATAAACAAAATGTGAAACAAAACACAAAGTATTTAACAGTCAGTTTACAGTGAGTGTTTGTAGTAAACTGTATCCAGTTATCAGCTGTGTGGCTGCATGTGCAAATCCATAATTCTAATTTGATTCACTTACATTATTATTATTATTTATGAGCCCTTTAAACTGTTAATACCTCAACCAGCTGATTAAAGAAGTACAATCAGGTGAACTCCAGCCTGTTTGGAATGAACACCTGCAGCTACACCGGCCCTTTGAGGAGAAGACTGGTGACCCCTGTGTTAGACCGTCATGCCTGTCATTTATAGCGTTATACTGCCATCTAGTGGACATTCACGAGAACAGCATTCCTGCCTTTCCAGTGAATTCCATTCCCACATTTCTGCACTCATTCCCACATTTCCACACCTATTCCCACATTTCTCTTACACAGAGTAGAAAAGTCTCTGTCAGTCCTGCCACAAACTGTTAACCCTGCTTTGTACTGTACAGTGATTGTTTATTAAGCCTTTAACATTATTATTATCAGACTTAGAGTCGGTGTTTGATTAATGGAATCTGAAGATTTGAAGCATCTGCAGCCTGTAGTCCATGTTAACTGCAGCTATAGTAGAATCTGTCAGGGTCATACTGTAAGTGATGATGTTAGGGTGGTTTATTAGACATTCAAACATAAAGATCATCCTTATCTTTATGTAATGAATGAAATAAAAACAATGAAATCATTAAGTGTTAATAATCCCCATTGAAAACAGGAAGAAATTGAATATTAAAAATCTACAGAGTGAGAAAAGGTAAAGGTCTCGCTCTCCTCGTCTGTGTTTAGTAACACTTTATTTTTATTAAATTCAGATTTACAACAGTTTTTTTTATTTGAACTCAGTTCACCTGTCTGGCCTTAAGCAGAGCTGCCTCTTAAAGAAGATTCATCAGCACCTCTACAGATTGAGGAACTGAGAGGGATGTGAAGCTGCATTATGATCAACACTGGCATTAATGTAATGTTGCTGTGAACAGAAGTCTGTAGTCCAGACCGCTAGATCCGAGTCAAAACAGAGACCAGAACACATCGATTTTGAATCAAGACCAAGACTTTTGGTAATCGAGTCTGAGTCAAGACCGAGACCAGATTATATACTGAAAAAAGAAATTAATTCGTTTGGAGTTATTTCTTCATGTATTGTCATCCATTATATATACTGATTTATTATATTATATTGTGTAAAATATAACATTAAATATAACCTGAAGCATTACTACATTGACTGTACGTATTACAGTAATAATGATGTTATAGCGAGTTAATATCACACAGCCACATATAATAATGAAAATGGCTAAAAATACAGCAGAAAATGGCCAAAGATTAATTCTATATGATGTTCTGTTAACAGATTTGTGAAGAATGTAATATGAACAGTAAATTACAGCTCTCAGTAACATTATTATGTATACCAGAATGGACCTGCTGCGCCATTTAAGGTGGAACGGGGAATCTGAACAAGAAGCTGACCTCTTCTTCGTGTGATTTAGTCCATGAAAATATCCCACCTACAGTTTAATGTAGAGCTCTGCCTGTAAACTCGCGCTCAGGTCTCATCAGAACCCCTGCTGGTCTCACCCAGCTGAGTGTCGAGCTAAACTGTGTAATACCTTCCGTTACTAACGGTTATAAACACAGGAAATACAGTAAACGGTGACTTATAGTGTCGTCCGAGCGCGACAGGTGACAAAATAAAGAAATCAGTCTGATTATTACTCAGATATTATCTCATTATCAGTCCCTTTAAACGGAGAGTCAACTTTCAGTTTCGTTTGCTTTCCTGCTCGGCTGCTTTTGTCTGTTACCTAGCAACGTGTGCGCATGCGTATCAGCGATGCAGCTGAAGAGCGGCACAGAGCGCAGAGTTTAATACGCGGAGAAAACACAGTTTATTCTGTTTGTTCCAGTTTAGTGATGTTCAGTAATGATTCAGCTTAGTTATCTCAGACGGAGGACCTTAATCCGAGCTCGAGACACAGATTTTAAGGGTCTAATGTTTATTTTAGTGAGCTTTTAGCTAGAACCCTGTCACAGCCTCAGCAGGTACCATAGTTTTCAGAGAAACAGCCACCAGAGACCCCCCAGGTCTGATATGATTGGCTTACAACCCAAGAGGTCTGATATGATTGGCTTACAACTCATGAGGTCTGATATGATTGGCTTACAACCTACGAGGTCAACATCAAGAAGATGAAAATGAACACACCGTGTTCTCGTGCACATATCAGAAATTATGAATCAGTTATGAATGATATCAGAGAGGCGCTGTGCTTGTTCCACCGTCTGGAGAATATGTCTGCTGTAATGTCTGCAGTCCACCGGATGTCGCTGTGCTCTCTATTTTCAGAGCTTCAGGGCTTCGAATCAGGAAAATGATCAATCAATCGCTTCTTCTTCCCATCATTAGCTGTTGCATTAGTCCACTGAGTGCAGTATCACCTCCTCAGCCTAGTTTTAGTCTAATTTTAGTCTAGTTTTAGATGGTTTCAGATGGACAGAACAGGGGTGTAGTCCTAAGAACAAAGTTAATATACTCACCTGATGGGACGCAGCTCAGTAGAGATTTAGTGCTTTTCCTCTTCTGACACTCTGAATTGAACTCTTAATTAAAGTCTTGCTTTCCTGTTTTTTAATATTCTACAACAAAAAAATAAAGAGAACAGAGCGTCTTCCTGATCTTTTAACCTCAAATAATCAATACAGCTGTAATGTTGCTGTCACTATGGCAACGTTTCCCTTTCTGTGTGCTGCTATCGGGTGAGTATCACTGTAAGGTCCACATGTGAACAGTTTTAGAGTGAAATGTATGAAATAAAGACCAGCAGACTTCACATTTAAAACAGTACAAACTGAAAGGCTTTATTTTGTACATAAATCATAACAAAAATATTGGGCCACCCCAGGGACACTTTTATCATGTGCAGATTTTACACAGTATAAACATGGCAGAAAACTTTTCTATGTGCAAAACAGAGACAGGACAGAGAGAGCGCAGCCTTGTTCTTCAATAAATCACTTTAAAAACACAAGATTATATATTATTACATATTGTTTAATAAAATTCATATTATTTTTGTAATTAATATTGTTTATAATGCAGTGTTATAAGCAGTCAGTGTACACATCACTGCTACAAATAAAGACAGCTTTGTTTTCAGTTCAATTCAGTTGAAAGCAGACAGCTGTGTCAGTGTTAGTACGTCCATTGTAGTCAGGGTTACCCGTAACAGACTGGGGGGCGAGTTGTAACAGTCACTAAAATGTCTGCTAAATCAGTGGAAACACAATTCAGCACAATTCTGTTCAACTCAAACAACTCAGTTCTTTAAACCAGACGAGGGCTGCTTTCTAAATATGTACAGATACGCATTAGACTGGGCTGCGCTTTCCCTTATATGACTGATTTGCATAGAAAAATGCGTAAATATGCTCACTAATAATCCACTTGAGGGTCAGCATTAGGATTTCTGAGACCAACACGTCTTTCCAGAGGCACAAAGTAACAGTATAAACACTCTGAATGATCCTGAGCAGACTGTAAAAATGAAAACGCCCACATTCCTGAGCAGCACTGAGTTAGACTACTGAAGAAACCCAAACCGTTCAGGAATATGATTATATTTATTATTTTATTTAAATAATTATATTAAAATGAAACTGTACAGTTTTTTCAGTGTGTTTGACTCTCTGCTGTCCTCTAGTGGACAGTTTTAACTAAAGATTTCTGATCCACTCTGAACTCCTTCATAATTTGGCTGAATTTAACATTCTGCAGTGAAATCCCTTCATTCTGGATATGTGCACATCGGCGTCCACTCTGAACTGAGTGTTTTGCAATATTTGTGTTGGAAAGAAACTATAAATATACTGTATACTGTGTCTTCAGGAAGCCTGTGTGAACTACAGCTGCTTTTTCTGGGTTTCTATTTACAGTTTTGTTTACAGTTTAGTTTTGATTAAACTGATCTCTCTCATATGTTAAAAAGCAGGAAATACACTCAATGTAATACTGTGAATACTGAAAAGCTGAAAAGATTAATAATCTGATGGAGATTAATAATCTAACAGAGATTAATAATCTGATGGAGATTAATAAGAGTTTTTGTAATAAGGTCATGGGATGCAGAATTCGCCCCCACTTCCTTCGATTTCAGCTTCGCGAGTTGTTCGCCCTTTGAGGGGCGTGTTTGTCTACAACACCGAATGCAAATGAACCCGTCAACAGGGATGGGGGAGGAGCTAAGTATCACGCTACTTTTTATAAGGAACTACACATTTTTGTACCTAAGAGCTGTAGTAGTAAATTTAGTTATTTAGTCTAAATTGTGTTGGAGATCACCTTTGGTTGTGTAAGTTTAACTGCTGGTAACACTTAAACTCACTTTTTAGTGATTTTTTTTTGTATATTTGCAGCTTTTCAGTTGTATGTTTCTTTCTGGAACACTACTTTTCAAAAAGTAGCCACTACTTTTTCTGGAAAAGTAGCTAAATTGTAGCTGCTACAAATCTTGTGAAAGTAGCTAACTACTAATTTTTCAGTATCTACCCCAACCCTGCCCGTCAATCAGTTGTAGATTTCAAATAAAAGTTAAATAAATTCTCATCTTAAGTAGACTCGATTAAACTGATCTGAACTGAAACTGAACTAACTCATCTTTTTCTGTTGATTAATCGTTTATGTAGCCAGCCAACACGTATCAGCCTGATATGCATCATCCTGCTGTAACTGTGATTCTGTTCTGTCTTTTAACTCAACAGGAGCAACAACAGCGTCAGAGACTTTATACCATGCGTTCAGTTTTAGATTGAACAGAAAGGGGAGGCCAAACAGAGCTGCTACTACCCTGCCTTTCACATCGTTCAGACAGAACTGGATATGTACCCACAGACACAAAGAAGAAAAAGGGAGCGAACAAAAGAGAAACAGAGACTGGGAATGATCTCTCCTCTGTTACTGCTTATTAGTGGGGCTCACAGGCTCATCATCTGTTTCTCTGCTGAATTTTTCTCCACATCCACCCAATCACCAACAATAATACCCCACACACAGTGAGGGAGAGGACAGACAGCCACACTGGCACAGCGGCTCTCTGGTCTCTGCAGGGCTGGTCATCTACAAAACAAACACAGAACATGTAGATCACTTTATACACACTGTCAGATTCCTGATACAAACACAGTTCACACTCTGTAATAATCCAGCTCTACTGCAGCTCATTCTGAGTCCCAGTGTAATCAGTACAGAAGGATCTCTACAGGCTGAAGTGTAAAGCGTACCAGATACAGCACTGAGGCGGAATCGAGGCTCATCAATCTGTCTCTGTGCTTCAGAATCATCACCTGATAAAAACATCATCACAATGCAAGACCTCAAACTGGAGATAAACACAGTTCAGCAGAAAGCACTGATTTAGGATCTGATTCATCATCCTCTGGACAGTTTAGCATCTCCTTTATGAAGCAATAATGAACAACATTGTAAATTATGCCCATTTTGAAACACTAATAATAATGATGGGGAGAGTATTATTGAAGTTATATTTCACTAAATGAAACTGAGTCCTGCACTGTGATGTCATTGTAATGACTGATATGCTTTAAATGGTTTAATGAATATGAAGCACTGGAGAGGCTGAGCTACATAGAGAATCTAACATACTACAAGATCTGGTCAAACTCACAAGCCATCCAGCTTGGATGATGAACAGACATGAGGTATATATACAGACATTATGTTATTCTCTCATTTCTGTTGAGGAAAAAGTTCTCAGTCAATTTTCAAATGTAACTGCACCAAATTCAGATCCAATCACTGCTATAAGATCAGTGTGTGATACAGTGAGGATGATACCAGAGAAGTAGCATTCGGCTCTAGTCCTCTATCGTCTAGTCACAGTCGGCTTTAATCACAGGATTTATTTATCCCTAAACAAAAACTACTGATATCCAACTGTATATTCATCATTTTCTTTCACTTCATTTTCTACAAGATTTTTTAATCCATCCTGCATTTTTGAGAATGACTGGTCTGATGGGGAATGATGTGCTTTTTGATCAAACAGTTTTTTATGTTTATTGTTAAATTATTAATTTTTCCCATCTGAATGAATTGAGGAACAATGTGAAAAAAGTTTCTGCACCCCTCTTATGTCACTATGATACAAATACACTAGCAACATCCTAGCATCCATGTGGGTTACCATAACAACTGTTTAGTAACATCCTCGAAACCACCTGGGACATCATAGCAACCACCTAAGATATCATAGCAACCGCTTAGCAACACCATAGCAACACTTGGCACACCACAGCAACCACCTAGCAACACGTGGCCATCAGTCACCAGAGCAACCAGTTAGATATACCCTAGCAACCATCTGGGATACCACTGCAACCACCTAGCAACACCCTGGAACACCATAGCAACCACCTAACAACACCCTAGCAACCACCTGGGTACCACAGCAACAACTGGGTACAGCATAGCAACCACCTGGAATACTGTAGCAACCACCCAGCAACATCCGAGAAAAACCCTCGCAACCGCAACAGATACCGTAGAAACCACCTAACAATTTCCAGTTGAAATATGATGTTGCACCCCTGAACAGACGATAATCAAAGATCAGAAACTCAGTCGCAGTGTTTCATGTTACTGTTTGATCAACTGTTAACACCATCAAGAGCTCCCCCTTCTGGATGCTTGCAGACATAACAAACAGCTTCTCCAAGCCCTACTAATCAAGAGCAGATCTATTGGGCTTTCTGATAGACTTAACCATCCAAACAGTGTTTAGTGCTCGTTTAAAGAACGATTAACACTAATTTTATACATCTATAGAAATACATGTGAACTGTTCTTAGGCCCAGTATGAGCTGTAAAGCACATGTATTTCACTGACAGCTTCAAAGGTTCAACCACCCAGCCTGAACAAACTGTAGAGGAAACACTGACCAGCGTTTTCCTGAACAGTGATTTCTGATTGGAAATGTAAATTACTGACAAAAACAAACATTACTTTCCTAAATTTAGTTCCACCTAACTAATAACTACTGCTGCCTCTCTTATACCAGCACCAGTAGAACCCTCTCAGTAAAACAGTGCTCAAGCTGTAAAAATCACACTAAATCATACCTTCGATTGTCACTGTGTAGATATGAATGACCTCTTTATTCTTCTTGTCCATTACAGTATAAACTCCACTATCAGATGGAGTCACTGCTCTCAGCTCAAGTCCAGCTGTGAGTGATGCTCTCTGTGTGTATTCAGGTTTACACTGTAGTGAAGGTCCATCCACTGTACAGATCTGACCACTGGATGGTCCAGCTGCTCCTGTACTGTTATAAATCACCTCCACTGGATCTGATATGTCCAACTTCAGCACCAGAGCGTCACCAGGTTTTATCTGAACTGCAGTGTTCAAGGCTGAGGAGAAAAACAATCAGGAACTTTATCAAATACAAATCAGATATAAAACACAGAACCTGAACTACTGGAGTTTCTATCAGTAACAATCAGTGAAGGAAACAGATGGACACTTACGCTGAATCAGCAGCTTCACATCACAGACGTCTTTACCATCACACTGAAACGTGTACAGGGCTCTCTTAGTGAAATCAGCGTCAGTGATGATGAGGGAAAAATCTCCCTTCAGGTACTGATCATGGATCATCTGATATCCCTCCTTCACTGATCTACATGAAGTCTGATTACACTCAGCCAGAGTATCAGTGGATTCACTGAACTCAGTCCATCTGACCAAACCAGAGCATCTCTCAGAGCAGGACAGAGTAGCAGAGTCATGAAGATTCACCTTCACTGTAGGAACAGCTGAAAAGAGAAATGACCAAACTGATAAATGTGTTCAGGGACATTAAAATCCCTCCTGAAGGTCCAGTACCAGTGGCGGCTGCACCAGCTGTGTGTAAGTTCAAACGTAGGCTAGTTGTAATGTGTTTAGTAAGTTCAGGTTTGTGCTTTACTAAATCAGAACGAGCTGCACCACAAACTAGTTTAACGCTGAGCTCAGTAGCTACTGAACATTTACACCCCCTCAGCAGGTGTAAGTGTTGGGGAAACCATCAGAAACCAGAAACCCAAAACAGGACTTTTTTGGCTAACTAAGCTAAAAGCTGTAAACACTATACACTGATCTTCCTCTCAGCTCTAATCATCAGCCTGGTTTAAACTCATTAAGCTGAACACCCACAGCTCCAGCTCAGTGAGACTCAGCAGCCCAAACGGCTAAACTGATCTGCTGCTGGGTCGGTTATCCAGAAACCGGCGTTTAAAAAGCTGCATATTGGTTTATCAGTGAAATATTAAAGAATAATCAGACAGCGGCTGTAGATCATCAGCTTTATTCAGTTTAACTCAGACACATCGTTCTCTTCTACACTGGATATTTTTACCATTGAAAAAGTCAGAACAGCTGCTGCTGTGTTTCCATGGCAGCAGGTTGACTGATTGGTTCTGATCATGTTGTCGTGTTAAAGTGACTTGCGTATCAGTTAGTTGGTGCTGGTTAAGATACGTCTTACTGATCTGTGGCGCAACCAGATTTAGTAAAAGGACAGTTTGAAACTAATTAGTTTAACTGAGGACTCAGTAAAGACTTTACACACGAACTTAAGTATAAACTCACACAGACCCAGTGCAGCCCAGTCCAGTTTACCCAGAAAATCTAGTTACAAAACAAAGATTAAAGTCAAATCTTTAATAAGATGATAAAGGAGTGACAGTGCAGTTCTTACCAGTAGAGACTGTAGAGATCAGTAAGATCAGGATACAGAGAGCAGAACTGCAGGACTGCATGACTGACCTACAGACACACACACCATCAGTCCTGACCTGGAGAGGAGAGAGAGAGAGAAAGAGAGAATAGAATGGACCTATAGACATGATACACAATGTGTCACCATATTTATTTTTTCTGATATCTGATAAGTCAGCACAGATAAAGCAGCACCACAATTAAAAAAAAGCATTTTACACACTGCACTACTGAGTGTTTTTAAAGGGAACCCTGACTCTTCAGACATACAGGCCTTAGTATGGTGTACATGTACAAAAGCAGGCAAATATATTGTATAAAGCAAGCAAAACACTTTATTATTAAAAATAGACAATATTTTTAGACCTTTTAGACAATAGACCTTTTACTAATAGGCTGACATTTTTGTCTCCACATCAAATGGTGGCTCCATCTCGTCCACTGAGTGAGGAACAGCACACTAAATGTCTCATTTAACTCTAATAAGTCATTCAGGCTTTCCAGCTTTAGCTACAGAGCAACATTAGCCAAGAGAAAAACTTTTTGATTGTCTTATTTTCCGTAGGACTGACTCCACTGCAACCACATGACATTATAATGTGACAACGGTGGCCTAATCATAGAGAAATTCTGCATATTTGTCACTTTTTGTAATAAACAAAACATTCCCGTTTATGTTTCATGTTTTAATAGTTTTGTACACTATTTTAAGGCATACGAGTCTTAACAGGCAGAGTCCCTTAATGTACTGACAGTGTCTGTGTTTACATGCAAAGATTCGCCAATCTCACTGAATTCGTTCCAGACTGAGGTGTTTATTCTCACTCTATTCAATCTGATGAAAATCTCTGTTTACATGCTCACTACAAGTAATCAGATTCAAAATTACACGCATGCGTAGAGAACCACTTAGTGTAGACGTTACCATGACAACCAGTATCACGTGAGTCCAGTCAGAGTGAGACGAGCAGCAGTGAGCAGTGCTTGTGTTTTTAATTGCTTTAAAATGGTGTCAGATTCAGGAAAACGTCCTTCGCATGTCCTTATTAAAGAAGGCCGAGAGGAAGACGTCGTGTTCTGAGACACATAAGCTGGACGTCCGTCCCACCGCCGTCTTTTAAAGATCAGAGCATAAACTTCGTCTCCTCTGCAGACCAGTTTCTGCTCCGCCATGCTGAACGGTATAAACTCTCACTATGACGCGACGAACATGATCAGAACGGACTTAAACTTTCCGATAGGGAATGTCATCAGATACAGGCGTTTACACAGATATTATTCTTCTATTTAACGGATTATTTACAGGATTACCCACGTCGTTCAGTCAGATAGAAACTGTATTCCAAATGGCCTCAATCAGACCAGCCTATTCAGATGGAGGTGTTTACATGGACGTATTATATTCTGATTGAGCTATTACTCGGATTATTAACAGATTACTAGGCTGCATGTTCACAAATATGCTCAGAAGCAGGCTTGAGTGACAGGGCAATGTAACTGAATATCATCTGTGTCATTTGAAATTACTCATAATTTCTTGTATTACAGTTAAGCTTCATCACTGTCTGTAAATTGTTAGTATTTTTATTCTTATTATTAATAGTAGTTTGGAAAAGGTATGAGTCTTATAGAGTGACTGGCCAGCAAATGTTCTTTGGCCTGTGGTCCATAAAGTATTTACATTTAGGCCCTGTCCCATTTCTTATTTTCACCCCTTGTTTTTGAGTGTTGCCCCCTGGAACTGAGTTACAGAGTAGTGGTTGAAATCTTCCCTCTGAAATGGGACCCTCAAATAAAAAGAGCATCACTTCATTAACAGCTACCAGCGCTGCTCTGTAGGCGACCCTGCCAGCCTGCAGTGACAGCAGAGGAGGGTAAAGTTCAGCCCCTTTAATTATTTATTATCACCCACCCCTAATTCTTCAGTGATGTGAAGCTGAAGTCAGATATTCACCAACTTCTTGTTTGAATTTTCCTGTTCCACCTTAAATGGTGCAGCAGTTCCGACTCTTGAGGCGCCAGGATGTAACTGTTGGAACGGCAAAGTTAGCTTAGCTAGCTACTGAGACGTTAGCGTACTATTAGCTTGTTATGAAGAAAAGGACCATAATACACTGAAACGACATTAAACTAAGATAATACAGTGTTTTTCATAACTTTAACAGAGAAAATTCTCATATTTGTGGGTTTCTTTGCCGTTTTTTCTTTTTTTCTCATAACTGTCTGTTTGGAGTTTCTGAAAAACCTCCGTTTGGAGGGTCATGTAGCCCCAACACTTCCCGTCCGAACTTAACACTTAGTCCCGTCCAAACCCGCAATATCAGACCTTTGACGCACTTTTTTACAGCATTTAAAGAGAGTCTGTTCACAACTTTGAGTGGAGGCTGTATAAAGTGAGTAGCTAACGGACAGACAAAGACAGAGATTTAAGAACAACATCCATAATTTAGAGGCGAATGGACTTGTTTACATTTATAATCACTCCAGCGGGAACGCTGACAGACATTTTACCAGAAACTGTTCTACTTTGGGGAAGATTTCTGTCAGATATGCGAGAAAAGCAGCTAAGCTGAAGCTTAAAGCAGAGCAAAGCGAGTCTGTGTTGTTTATACCCAGACAGCCAGCGACTCTGGCCCGGAGTTGGCTGTAAGTCGTTCTCACTCGGCTCACAGTCGCAGTCAGTCAGCGGCGCCGGCCCAGAGCGGGGCGCTGTTGGCGTTTATAGAGCTCTGTTTCACGCTGTCTGACCACTGTGATGTCAGAGTCGCTGTGCGGCTCACAGTCGGCAAACGGCCGCGTTACGGAGGATCAGAAGAGTCTTTAAAAGTCTTCCATTCACCGACAGAACAGAACAGACTGAGCTATAATGTAGAAAAAGTCATCTATTTTGCGAGCTTGGACGGTGAACTGTGTTCTACCAGGACTCCTCTTTAAGCGCGGGACGTCCAGCTCCTCTACGAACTGGTTCACTGACTAAAGTCTGTTTCACAGGTTCACTTTTCACGCTCTTACACTGCTTTCAGTTCTGATAAATCCCTGGAAATAAACTAACGTGAGTGTGAACTTAGCAGTGCACAGAAACAGAACTGCATTTGTAGCATCAAAGAAAACATAATGTATCATAAACTTTGATTGATCCTTAATCATTCTTGTTTATTATCTGCGGAAATGTCACATCCATAAATGTAAATAACTAAAGCAAATGTTACACTTCAAAATAAAAATAGTTCATGATTTGCACTTCCAGGACTGAAATACACTAAATCCAATAAATCAATTATTAAATGTAGATTACTGAAACACCGGAGTTCAGCTCTCTGACTTTTAAGCATTTTTTGAAACGAGCATTATTAATGTTTGTATTAATTTGGAGAACTTTATTATAATTTAATTTGAGCTGAGCTCCACAAACTGCTTTAAACTGTATTTTAGGCTATAGTTTTGTGCTGAGATTCAAAAAGCAAGGAAGAAAATTAAAGTGACTGGCGGAGTTTTTGACCAATTAAAACACGGCAGAGGAGGAGCTGAGCAGTCTGACTCCGCCCCCTCGAGGTTTAGTGCAGCAGCACGCGCTTTCTCCAAGCGTTCGGTTTGGCTGTTTAAAGAAGCGCGACCGTTCGGAGCCGTTAAACGCGCAGTACTCACCGCGTTACCGACCCACCAGGCTTTAAAAGCTTATCAATCACATTTGTACGGAAATCTACGGAGCCCCGCTGGTGACATCTCGTATGAATAAAAATAATAAATAATGCATGGCCACGCCTTATTAACGCATGGGAACGAGATCCTAATGTGTGGCCATGACTTAGTAAGGCATAATAATAAGGAATGAGATCACGTTTTTAAAAGTTTATCAATCGTATTACTTTTGTTTTAGGCATTATCTGCAGCCAGCAGTGGTTATGAATTTATACATTCACATGCTCAGTGGTTCGTTGGCTGTAAGTCGTTCTCACTCGGCTCACAATCGCGTTTGTACGGAAATCTCTTCAGAGAGTCTGTCTTACTCTCTGCTCTGAGATGATGGTGCTCTGTGCCGCTGACTGAGATTTCAGCTCTGAAGACCGAAGACTCCGCGGGTGGAATGAGGACCGCTACCCGCTACACGGGGACCCTAAACCCTGCATTAAAGGAGAGCAGTAATGAGGGTCTCAACCAGGCAGTCTGAGCTGAGCTCTGCACTCATACTCAGCTAATTCATCTCCGGGTCAGTCTGACAGGAAAATCACCAGCGTTAGCTAAGCTAGGCTAAAGTTAGCTGGTTTGTCTGCTGAGGCCCTGCAGTTGTTGCTTAGCGACTACCCAGCGCCGTTAAGCGCGAGCGCCGCCGTCTGATTTCAGCAGTACAGAGAGGAGCTGATAGTGTTCACATCCCTGTAAAGCTCAAACTAGAGAGTATCAGTATCACAGGCTAAAGGCCACAGTCAGTCTGAGTGTTTGAATACATCCACACTAAACTGAGTTATTGTCTAAAACTCTGAAGAAGACATTACTTTGGAAACAGAGCCAGTCATTCTGTTTGTTGTGTATTTGAACAGCAACAAAAGCGTTGTTTCCTGTTCTCTTGATTTATTTTACATCAGCAGACCACAGTATCTTTAGCTCTGTATGTCAAAAACAGCCCCCATAAAGAACTGCATATAAAGTGTTATCGTTGTCTTTCAGTTTCGTATTTTGCAGAATGTGCTGGGTTATTGCTAATATTAATATAGTCACATTTTCTGTCCTGTACAGATCATCATTGCTGAAGAGGTGAACATGTCACTGGAGTAGTGCCACCACAAAAGCCCAGCCTAAGACCTTCTTTACATCAGAGACATTTACAGCTTTGTGTCTATAGTAGGCTACACTTAACATACGTTATTCTGATGTTCTTGCGTCTGTTTTTTTCTGTTGTGTTTCAAGTCAGTTTAAGGATTAACTTCAAAGACTAAGTGTGAATGGCTGGACATGGAAGAGTTCCAATTTCCAGGTAAAAACCTGTTCTGAAATATATATTAATTCTCAAATGTTATTCATTTCAATGCACAGCAATAGCTGTAATGGACTATTCCATGCTGTCATGTGACGACACAAATGCATA